TTATTGTGGCATGACCATTTTGGTTCTCTATCAATAAAATAATTTTAATGCGATTAAATACAAAAGTATTTCGGTCTTTAATTACAGATTTTTTCAAAAAAAAAAATATAAAAATATAGCAGGTTCAACTCACTTTGTATAAAAATGATTAAAATGTCTTTGCATTTAACGATATTTCAACAGTTTTTGTTGACAGAAGACTAAAAATGGTCATACAACAATAGTACTAAGACCAAATGTAGATGTTCTGATATAAAAAGACTAAAAGTGGAATGTCACCTATAAATTTAGGAAAAAAATGAAATTAACTCTTAAAATAAAGGTTAAAATGAAAAATGTTGTTGAGAAAAAAAAAAAAGAATTATAAAAGAACAAACACTTGATACAACTTATAGTACCAATGTAACACTATTTTCATTCTAGTTAAGGACTAACATTATTGGTTTTTATTAGATTTTATTTTATTAATTATAGACATCAGCTAATCAATTATCACTTGGACATATATATTATTCTCTAATTTTTGTATAAATAAAATCAATTTAAAAAAATATTATTAAAAATATCTCATTAAAATCTTTTTAAATAATACTCATATTAATATTTGTTTTCAGTATATTGTTTCAATAATTGCATGATGAAATTATAGTGGTGGCACAATGAATTTGTAATCTTGAGATAAGTGATTATTTAGAAATTAGTTTGCTTTCTATTTGAGCCTTAGCTGTTGCCTGTTGGACTTGTAGTATTGATCAAATGAACCTTCTCTATTGTAAAAATTAAAACCTTTTTGAATGTTACTGACTCTATTACAATATAACTTTCTCAACTTACACAAAGAGCCAACTTCACTGAGGCTGAGGCTCGAACTCACAATCTTCTAAATAGAAGTTCAACCCGGATACCATTAGACCATATGGTCTTGGTGTAAAAATTAAAACCTACTCTTTCATTAATGAACATATTTTAGGTATATCAGTATTATGTTGTAAATGCATTATTATTGTACAAATGAACATTCAATATTGTATAAATTAACACATTTTAGTATTATAAAATGAACTATTAGTATTGTGAAAATAAACTTGCAATGTTTCATTAATAAACATATTTGAGATCCATAATTATAAGGTAGTTGCATTACAATTGTGAAAATGAACATGTAGTATTTTAAAAATAAACTTTTAGTATTGTAAAAATGAGCATGTTGTGTTTACATAATAAACTTATTTAATATTCATTAGTATAATGATGTATTTGCATTAGGATTATGAAAATGAACCTACAATATTTTGAAAATAAACTTATAGTACATTGAAAAAGAATTTACAATATCGACTTAATATAATTGTATGTTAAGTTAACATATTAAAATAAAAAATTAATATGAGTATTATTTAAAAGATTTCGATTTTTATATATTAATTTTATTTGTAAAATAAATAAATAAAATTAAGTTAAAAATAGCTAGACACATGTCTGTGGTGGACCACGGTTCATTTCATAACAATCCTGCTACAAAGACACATGTCCATTGGTTCTCAGCCCAATTTGATGCTTGCCAACCCTAAAAAAGTTTGGTCAATATAACATACTGGCCTAATCATCTCAAATCTTGCTCAATAACCAAACACTTATGATGATGGGACTTAAAGTTCAAGTTTATGTCAAAAATATAGTGGACATATTAGGGAGCCATCTTATTTGTTGTTTTTTATTTTTATTTTTTTTTTACTTCACAATTTTTCTTATAGTAATCTTAATAGTGAGATTTTTTGGTCAATTTTTTTTTTTTTGTTGTTGTTGTCAAGTAGGGAGGGAGAGAGGGAACAAAGAATGTTACATTTTAAGCGATTGATAGGTGCGGTCGTCAGCAAACTTGCTTTCTATTTTTTCTTCATTGCAGACTCCACAAAAAACCTCACTTGCAGGTCATACCCTTATAGCAATTTCAATAGTGAGATTTTTAGGTCAATTTTTTTTTTTTTTTTGTTGCCTAAGTGAAGGAAGGAAGGAGGAGAAAAAAAGGGAAGGGTGCAAAAGAAACAAAAATGTTACTTTTTATGCGCTCATTGACGTAGTTGGTGCGTAAAACATGCACTAGCAAACTTATTTTCTCTCTCCTCTCTTTCTTCCCTGCAAGCTCCACAAAAAACCTTCACTTGCAGAACAAACTTATATTCTCTTTCTCTTATACTCTCTCTCTCTCTTACACCTCACAAAAATATAAAAAAATAAAAAAAATAAAAAACTATTGTGGTTGCTCTTATTCAAAATGAAAGTCCACTTAAAATATTAAATCTATTAAATGGTGCTTATAGTGAGAGGGCAAATTATGTTGTGGACTCGTGTTCACAATGCATTGTGAACACGAGTCCAAAACGACGTCGTTTTAGGGTCCGTTTGGAAAGCAGGAAAATGACTTCTGGAAAATGTTTTCCGGAAAATGAGTGATTTTCCAGAAAACATTTTCCTTTCCAGTGTTTGGGTGCACTCTGAAAAACTGTTTTTGTGTGTTTGGTTCATTTTCTGGAAAATGAGTAGAATTGTATAATTAAACATTTAAATTATTTATTTTCAAAAAAAAAAAAAACATTTAAATTATTTTATTTAGAATATTACAACATGTATAATAATATATAATAATATAATAATAATTTTAAATATAATAAAAAATAACTAATAATATATCAAAAATATTATGGTGGTGGTGGTGATGTAGTGGTAGTGGTGTTATTTGTTATATAATAATAATAATAATAATAATAATAATAATAATAATAATAATAATAATAATAATAATAATAATAATAACAATAATAACAATAATAATAATAATAACAATAATAATAACAATAATAATAATAATAATAATAATAATAATAATAATAATAATAATAATAACAATTGGTGGTGGTATGGCAGTGGTGGCAGTGGTGGTGGTGTGGTGGCGGTGATGGTGGTTGCGGTGGTATGGTGGTGGTGGTGGTGGTGACGGTGACAGTGGTTGTGGTGGTATGGTGGTGGTGACGGTGGCGGTGGCGGTGGCGGTGGTTGCGGTGGTATGGTGGTGGTGGCGGCGGCAGTGGTATGGTCGTGGTGGTGGCGGCAGAGGTGGTGTGATGGTGGTGGTGGTGGTGCGGTGGTAGCGGTGGTAGCGGTGGTATGGTGGTGGTAGCGGCGACGGTGGTATGGTGGTGGTGGTGGCGGTGACGGTGGTGGTGACGGTGACGGTGGTGGTGGCGGTGGTGGTAGTGGTGGCGGCGACGGTGATTGCGGTGGTATGGTCGTGGTGGTGGCGGCGGTGGTGGTGTGATGGTGGTGGTGGCGGCGGTGGTAGCGGTGGTATGGTGGTGGTAGCGGCGGCGGTGGTATAGTGGTGGCGGTGGCGGTGACGATGGTGGTGGCAGTGGTGGTGGTGGCGACGACGACGGTGATTGCGGTGGTATGGTGGTGGTGGTGTCGGCGGCAGTGATGGTAGTGGTGGTGGTGTGATGGTGGTGGTGTGGTGGCGGTGGTATGGTGGTGGTGGTGGTGGCAACGGTGGTGGTATGGTGTTGATGGTGTTGGTGGTGGTAGTGGTTGCGGTGGTATGGTGTTGGTGGTTGTAGTGGTAGTGGTGTGGTGGTGGTAGTGTGGTGGCGGTGGTTGCGGTGGTATAGTGGTGGTGGCGGCAGCAGTAGTGGTGGTGATGGTGGTAGTGAGGTGGTGGTGGTATGGTGTTGGTGGTGGTGTGATGTTGGTGTAAAAGTTGGAAAATGATTTCCCCCCAAAAAAAGGGGAAGTCATTTTCCTCAAAAACAAGCCTATTTTCCAAAGTCAACGGAAAATGATTTCCGTTGACTTGATCTTCCAGGCACATCCAAACAATGGAAACTTGGAAAATGATTTCCAGAACTCATTTTCCAGGTTTCCAAACACACCCTTAAGAGAAAACGCGGTCTTTCAGTTATTATTTTTTTTTTTGGTTTTCGTCTCGCTGTTAACGGCGTTATTCGTTTGTGGCATTATGAATGTACAGTTATGGAATTATGAATGTAAATTATGAAATTATGAACACAGGGCTCTGACATTATGAACTTCCAATTATGAACATATAGTGATAAAATTATGAACATAGAGCTCTAAAATTGTGAATATAGAGTTTCGAAAAGTATGAATTTACAGTTATATTGAATTATGAATATACAGTTACGGAATTATGAATGTACAGTTATGCAATTATGAATGTACAGTTATGCAATTATGAATGTACAGTTATGAAATTATGAACACAGAGCTCTGACATTATGAACTTACAATTATGAATATATAGTGATAAAATTATGAACATATACTCCTATAACAAAATGGTCTGAAATTAAAAAAAAAAAAAAAAAAAAAAAAAAAAAAAAAAAAAAAAAAAAAAAGTGGAAGATAACAGTGCCACTAACGGCACTGTTACCGTGTCCAACATGCATGCTGGACACGGGTCCATAGCATAACGATTGTAGTGAGAGCTATATGTGCAAGATTATATTGTGTATTGCGGCAAGATGAATCATAATACAATTTTATTTTTAGTATACTGCATATTTACTTTTAGTGTACTATGAGTTCATTTTAAACCTTTTTACACTAAAAATAAATCCACAATACATTAAAAATGAATATGTATCAAAATATAATGAACTTATTAAAAATGAATGATTTAATGTACAAAAAAAAAAATAAACTTCTAGTATATTAAAAATAAATAGGTATCAGGGATCTATTTCAATATAGATCTCAATCCATAGTATAACCATTGAAATACATAGTCATATTAAGAATTTAAAGTTTATGTAATGTGTACTTATTAAGAACTTCAAAATAAATCAAATAAACTTAAGAATTAATTAAATAGAAATTTTTAATTATATTTGTTAAATCATTTCCAATGTGTGTTGAGGGAGATGGGGAAAATAAGGAGGAAAAAGACATAATTAGTATTTTTTTTTTTTTAAAAAACCATAATTATCTGATTTACACATGGAACTTTTATACATGGACTGTCACAAGTAAATTAGCAACACAACTTTCTACAGAAACTCCTATTCATTCAAACATCTCTCAAAAAGAAAGGTTTTTATGTTAATCAAGAAAGCTGACCTTCCAAAGCATAAATCAACAAGATGCTAACTCCTTTGGAAATGTCTATCTGGATTCTCTTGCCCTTCCATGTTCTTTGCTTCCTCCAACGCTAAAAACTTCTTGCCCAGCAAGCGGGATAAGATCAGACTCACCGTTTTGATCTTGTCACACTCCGTTCTTCGCCTCTCATATCTGCGAGTCTTGACTTTAGAGTACTCTCGAGAGTAATCCCGGATCTTTCCACAGGTGTTCCACCAGGGTCTCGGGAGGACCGTGGTTGGTCCCATAGCCGAGATGGACTGGAGACAGCGAAAGTATGGTTCTTCATGCCCGCTATTGCTTTTATTCTTTGGATTTCCTCTGCATAAGCGTATTTTTTACCTAGTTTCTCGAGCTCATGGAGCCTCTCCCAATCTAACCCGTGGCTCATCCCGTCTCCTGGGTTTTGGATGTTTCCTGCTTCAGTGCCCCAGTCAACCGCATCGGAAATGCTCCTTAGAAGTGTACTGCTTCTTCTAGGTATGAGAGAGTTTCTTACTTTTATTTCATCGACTGAAACTCTCTTGGACTCCCGGTTGATGGCAGAAGGATAATAAGCCCCTTTGGGGTTCTTATTAGTGTTTTCCATGTTTAGTTCGATAGAATGAAGATCGCTTTCGGCTGACTCCTCCCCACAGTCCAAAGCATTCACCGTTTCTCCTCCGTCATGTTCCCGGTGGGAGGTAATAGGAGTTTTATTTGAACATGCGGCCATTTTTTCCTCGGTAGAGCCATTTCCCTTTCGTTTAGATTTTTTCTTGCCACCCAAGAACGATTCGAGCTGTTTCCTCAGCTTGTCAACGGCAGAACTTTTCTCCTCGAACTGATGTTTGGCCTCCGAGAGTTTCATATGGACTCTCTCCTCGCGTAACTTGTCGGCTATTTGGAGCATTTCTCGTTCCTTTTCAATCTCTTCCTGAACTTTAGCGGAGTCCCTCTTCATCTCTTCCACCTCCACTCTATCTTCGCCAATGTCCCTAGCTAAATCGTTACATACTTGTTCCATCATCTCCCTCGCTCTCTTCTCGTTCTCGAGCTCTTTCACAACCTTCACGAACGATGCTTTCGTTTCGGACAGCTCTTTCCCGAGTTTCCCGTTCAAGTTCTCGCATCGTCGCCTCAGTTTCCTCTCCACCTCAAGTTCATTTGCGATAGACTCAATCGCAGCCTGTTCTTTGTTTTTCCAGGCCGCTTTCTCTTCAGCGAAGCATTTAATGAGATAATTGATCTCGCTTTGATCCAAACTCTGTTCTTGAATAAGCTGGTTAACCTGCAAGCGAGCCCTTTCAAGTTCAGCGTGTAATGCCGAGACAAGAGACATACTAGAAGACGGTGGATCGGCATTTGCCCATATCCGATTGATTATTTTTAGAAGCTCTTTGGATGTGATCAACGCATTACTAATGTCTTTCAAACGGTTTTTAACACCAACGACAGATACACTTGCCCGGGACCTAGTATCCATCTGCATATGGGAAAGTAATCATCTTATTCCTAAAAAGAATCGATACTAGTCGAACAAAAGCTGTAAAAAAAGAACTAATTAAAGTTCGTAGAGAAAGGAAACAGCCATCACCTCCATTAGACTGGCACTGCTTAAAGAATCTAAAACTCCGACATTATGGTCTACTGGCCTCGGTCTGTGTGAAGTAGTTGATGCCCTCTTCTGGTAACTTCCTGTTCCCGATCGATCAAACCTCTATGCAATCATAAATACACAAATCAATGGATAGGAAGGATCTGAAATAATCCAAAGTCTAAACACGAGAGTGAGAATGCATTGCTTGACAAGTGATAAGTGATAACTTCCTTTTTATTATCCTAAAACGCAAAGTTTGTAAAAATCCATAGTGATGACAGAAACGAGCATAATTTCTGGGAAAAATATTCAATGCATTCAAGGCTTCTGGCAACAAAATAACGAAAAATCTCATGTCTGGCTAGAATTAGAAGCAATCTTACTCCTATTATCACGACTTTCAGTTCATGGAGCCATTTGTAACATCAACTGCTATATTGCTTAAAGCGCCAATCTTTGTTAGCTTCTACACCACCCTCTATTCTCTAATGCTCGAAAATAATGTTAAAAACATGCCCGAAGAAAATATATTTGCAGTATACCATCATTTTCATGAACCTGAAGCTAGTCAGATGATTGGTTAAACTAATAAATCAAAACTAAATTCAAACCAAGCCAAGAATCAACTTATGTTTCTATAAAGTTTGAAAAAGATTGTTTTTTTTTTCTTTCTCTCACTGAAATGCAATTAGGCATAGATTCAATAATTGAACATACAAACTGAATTATCATTCAGGCAGAACCAATGACCAAAGCCCACCTAAGACCCAGAAAGATGTTAGGTAGTAACCACAAAACAAAGGACAAAACTCCATCACCATCAAATAATGTTTGAATGACAGAACAAAAGTTTATACTGTAATAATGATGATTGTGTCACAAACATTATTTGAGAATTAATTGCAGATGATTAGATGAAGAACCCACCTCAGAAACTGGGCTATGAGATGGATCACACAAGTGGGGAGGGAGGGAGCCCGAGACCGAATCCGACCCGGAATGTCCCGACCGCATTATTTTCTCCTTCATCATCATCATCATCATCGTCGGATTCATCGCCATCTTCTTCTTCTTCTTCCTCTGGTCCAACTCCTCCTCCGCAATTCTCGGCGACGGCACTTCGTTCATCTCCCAGAGAGTGGCGGCGAGCTTTCTCGCCGAAACTGGGCGAGACGTCGCCGCCTGAGAGACGGTGGGGGACTCGACGGCGGTCCTCAGAAGCGGCGCCGTTTTCCATGGCGGCACCGGAGTGCTGGATCTGGACCCACCGCCCAATCCCAACCCGTGTCTGGCCTTCCCCACCACAACGGCCCGCTTGAATCTGTAGTTATGAACTCTCGACGACGCAGATGAAGACGACGAACACCCCCTTTTCCGGACTTTGGGCACCAAACCCTCTATCCCCACCCGATTCTGCCTAGGCATTATCACCCAAAAACCTTTTTGATCAAGAAAACTTCTGGGTATCAAAAAAAATTGAATCTTTTGGAATTGGGATCAAGAGAAATGCTGGGTGCTTAGAAAAACAGAATCTTCACCGGCTTCTTTCGAAATTGCAGCGAGGGAGAAGCAAAAAAGGGAAAGGGGAAAAGTGGCGTGCTGGGCTGCCGGGCATTGATATAATTCTTTGATTTTGAAATGATACATTTAAGATCGAGGAAGCAAAGCAAAGATTTGACAGCTTTGACTATACCAGTAGGAGTAGGGCTAAAAAGAAAGACGATTTGTATCTGAATGAAAGAGAAGAAAAAGAGAGTTCACTGTGCTTGTGCCTGTGAGTGAGGCTAAAGAACGTGCAACCAAATTATTACTGCATTCAGCAACCCCCTTTTTGCTGCTCTGTATAATATCTCCATCTTGATTTTATACAATGCTAATATATTGGAAAATTGATTGAGATACATAAATATAATTTGTATTAACATTCCCTGATTTTTAGCTCATCAGAGGGTGTTGCTATATATTACAAAATAATAAATATATGCACAAATTGTAATACACAATTCTTCTAGATAACGCACTTTCAAATAATAATTGTAATTGTTTTTATAAAATAATAAATAATAACCGTATGTACAAATTGTAACAAAATTTTGTATTATACAACACTCTGGAAGTATAATATTTCTATCTCGATTTGACATAGTCCTGATGTATTAGAAGATCCATTGAGATACATAAATATGATTTGTATTAAACATTCCCTGATTTTCAACTCATCAAATATTCAAATATATTACATAATACAGAGTAATAGATATATGCAAAAATTGTAATACATCATTCCTCTACGCACTTTCAAGTAATAGCTACAAATTTTTTTTATAAAATAATAAATAATAACTGTATGTACAAATTGTAACAAAATTTTGTATTATTCAACACTTTGGATGTATAATATCTCCATCTTCATTTGATACACTGCTGATATATTAGAACATTAATTGAGATACATAAATATGGTTCATATTAAACATTTTATAATTTCCACCTCATCAAATATTCAAATATAATGCGGAGTAATAAATGTATGCACATATTTGAATACGTTATTCCTCTGGATAATGCACTTTCAAGTAATAGTTGCAAATTTTTCTAAAAAATAATAAATAATAAATAATAACTGTATGTACAATTGTAACAAAATTTTATGTATTATACAACACTTTGAATGTATAATATCTCCATCTTGATTTGATATAGTGCTGATGTATTAGAACATTGATTGAGACATAAAAATATGATTCGTATTAAACATTCCCTGATTTTCAGCTCGTCAAATATTCAAATATACAGAGTAATAAATGTATGCACAAATTGTAATACGTCATTCCTCTATAAAACGCACATTCAAGTAATAACTGTAAATTTTTTTATAAAATAATAAATAATAATTGTATGCACAAATTGTAACAAAATTTGATGGACAATACAACACTTTAGATGTTTGGAGTTGAAAATAAAGTCTACTAAATTTTTCCTATAGGGTGTGGTTACCACTTTGGGAATAACAAATAGTCAAATAGTATATGGCTTTTAATAATTTGACTATTAATGGACCATGGAATGTGTACACCTCAATTGTGATGTACTACTCCTGTCCTTTGTCATTGTCATGGACTTCTTATTTATTTAGTTAAATACAACTATAATAGTCTTTCTTTTTCAATAATAGTGTTATTTAAAAGTTAGCAATATAACAAATTGTGATGGGTTTATCTTAACAAGTTTTGATTGAAGTTGATTATTTTATAGACGATTTTCGGTTATAACGTTCAAGAACACTAACTCATGATGTGGACGGAGTTTCATTTTTGGACTAAAGATCCATCCTTCAATACATTCAACATTCTACTAATTATAATATGAATATGATTATCTCTTGATCCATGCATCCAAGCTTTCATGTACAAGTCTCATCGTAATTATAGGATGTCCATCTATGATGTTTCACTCTAAACTCAAGTTTATTTTCAATATTGGATAAAACCTTTTCAGTCTACATTTTCTTAACTTCATAATTATACTTTGAACATCAATTTTTTATCTATTCATTATTTGTTTTGAATATATAAATATATGAAAGTCATTTTGTCACTTACTATAATTTGAATATACTTTAATCCAACTCAAATTAATAATAAATGCCACTCAAAATAACAACTAATATAATATTTGGAGCTAATTTTTCAACAGTTATGGCTAAGTAGTAGTACTGATGTCCTAATATAAATATTAGGCGAGAATGGTCAAGTTGGTTGGTTGGTGGCAAATTATGGTCCACCCAGTGTTATGGAGACCATAACAAAAAGTACTTTTTAATATATTAAATGTACGTTATTTTTATATTGTATGTACATTATAAAATACAATATACACTCAGTAAAAAAATAATGTACATCTCCTTAATACAATGTACATTATTTTGTACTGAATGTATATTATTTTACAGTATACAAAATATGGTTCACATACCTTGTGTGGACCATAGTCCAGACAATAATGATTGTTGGTTCGTTATGTGTTGGACCCGTGTCCAGCATGCATGCTGGACACGGGTAACAGTGCCGTTAGGGACTGTTATCTCCTCTTTTTTTTTTTTTTTAAATTTCAGACCGCTTCGTTATAGAAGTATATGTTCATAATTTTATTACTATATGTTAATAACTGTACATTCATAACTCCATAACTGTACGTTCATAACTCTATAACTGTACATTCATAACTCCATATCTATACATTCATAACTCCATAATTGTACATTCATAATTTTCGAAGCTCTATGTTCATAATTTTATCACTATATGTTCATAATTGTAAGTTCATAATGTCAGAGCTCTTTGTTCATAATTCGATCAATAATTGTACATTCATAATTCCATAACTGTAGATTCATAATCTCATAACTGTAGATTCATAACTCCATAACTGTAGATTCATAACTCTATAACTGTACATTCATAACTCCATAACTGTACATTCATAATCTTCGAAGCTCTATATTCACAATTTTAAAGCTCCATGGTCATAATTTTATCACTATATGTTCATAATTGTAAGTTCATAATGTTAGAGCTCTGTGTTCATAATTTCATAATTGCATAACTGTACATTCATAATGGCATAACTGTACATTCATAACGGCATAAATGTACATTCATAATTAAAAAAAAAAAAAAATAACGCCGTTAACGGTAAAACGCGCGCGATTTTACTTTTTTTAACTAAATGACGCGTTTTTTTTAAAAAAAAACGACGTCGTTTTGGGCCCGTATCCACAATTCATTGTGGACACGGGTCCAGGGCATAATTTGCCTGGTTTGGTAGACTAAAATGTTAGTGCATTCATTTGTAGCCATGGATTTGAGCCCATTCTGATTCGATTGGGTCTCATCAAACCGTTTACATGGGAACACCTATGTAGCCCAAACCCATCAATTGGGCAAATTATATCGTGTACCGCGGTGCATAATCGATTATGCACCGCACATCAAAACGACGTCATTTTGTTAAATGAAAAGAAACGGCATTCGTTTTCCGTCGTTCCGCACCATTCTGCAAAAAGTCACTCTGTTATTCAGTTTCATTTTGTATACACTGCAATTTCAATTCAACACAACTACAATTTCATTTCGATTATTCGATATAACTACAGTTTCATTCGATATGTATAGACTCAAATATGTGAAAATGTTATTTAATTTTATTTTATATACACTATAGTTTTATTAAAACACAACAACATGATCATTTTGATATAATTACAGCTTCATTGTACAATATACATTCAAATATGTGAAATGTTATTCAGTTTCATTTTATATACACTGCAGTTTCATTTCACCACAACTACAGTATCATTTTGATATAACTGCAATTTCATTTGATAATAATATAAAAATAATACGTGAGGCAGTGTCGGTTTAGATATACTGTAGTGAGGCAGTTGGTGTTTAATACACCAAACATGCGGACTCCATTAATGTAACAACGGGCTATTTCTTTACTTAAAAAAACAGCGCCATTTTTTACCGCGGTGCACACCGTGGTCTACGATATAACGACTGCATCAATTGCGGTTCTTATACAGTGGATCTTGGTCCATAGTGTTATGTGGACTATAGTTGTCAAATGAAACTGTAGTAGAATTAAAATGACTCTTTAGTGTTGCTAAAATGAAATTAGTGTGTGTAAAAAATGAAACGAAAAAACAGAGCTCATTCAACACCGTACATTATCAAATGAAACTGTAGTATAATTAAAATGATACTTTAATGTTATTAAAATGAAACTAGTGTGTATGGAAAATGAAACTAAAATTCAGAACTATACACTAACATATATTGTCAAATGAATATGGAGTGTAACAAAAACAACACTTTAGCATTATTATAATTAAACTAGTGCTTATGGAAAATGAAATTACAAAATCTAGCTCATAGGCAATAAATATTATAATTCATCAAAATTCACATATGAATTGAAGTAGATTCCTTTAAACAAATCATATAATATAATATAATATCCCAAGACGTTCATTATTGACCGTAATTGGAGTTGCAAATTATTTTATAAACATGGATGAAGTATGAAACAGCATAGCTGGTCAAAAGAAATTCAGAAAACGACAATTAATAATCGGCAATATATAATTCCAACTTTCAAGTTAAAATAATTCTCAATTATATATATTGTTAACTGAGTTGATACAACATGAAATTAAATAAAGAGTAAACTCCTTGGTTCAAGCTAAGTTGTCATAATAAATAGAGATTCCTCCGAGTAGATACCTCAACTTTCAAAGCGACAGGATTTCGTATTCTTATGCAATGTCACGTTGATTGATAGATCAGATCGGTTTTATTTTGTTCATCAAAACATGGCTACAACTTCCATCCTAAGAAGGTAAAACAGCCTATATATCATACCAATGGTCTCTGCTACATATAATTTTCCGACCACTTGGTAATGGTGGTCGGAAATGTGAATATTGTTTGGACGCTAACGTTACGTTGTTGTTTTGATCGAACAGGCTAGCGGGCAAAGTTGCAGTGATAACGGGTGGCGCCAGCGGCATCGGAGAATGTTCGGCGAGGCTTTTTGTCCGGCACGGGGCGAAGGTCATCATTGCCGATATCCAGGACGAGCTGGGCCGCGCCGTCTGTGACGAAATCGGCGGAGACTACGTGTCTTACGTCCACTGCGACGTGAGACGCGAAGCCGACGTCGAAAACGCGGTGAACGCCGCCGTGTCCAAGCACGGGAAGCTAGACATCATGTTCAGCAACGCGGGAGTTCCCGGAAAGGGCGGAGAGTCGTCGTCGTCGATCCTAAACGCCGACTACGACAACTTCAGAACCGTGTTCGACGCCAACGTGTTCGGCGCCTTCCTGTGCGCGAAACACGCGGCGCGGGTCATGATCCCGGCGAGGAACGGCGGCAGCGTGATCTTCACTTCCAGCGTGGCTTCGGTGACGTACGGCGACGTGCCGCACGAGTACTCGGCGTCGAAGCACGCCGTGGTGGGGTTGGCGAAGAATTTGGGGGTGGAGATGGGGAGGTATGGGGTGAGAGTGAACTGCGTTTCGCCGTTCGGGGTGGCGACGCCGATGCTGAGGGGTGGCATAGGGATAGATGAGAAAGAAAAGGTGGAAGAATTTGTGTGTGAGATAGCAAACTTGAAGGAAGCTAAGGTGGAGGCGAAGGATGTTGCAGAGGCGGCGTTATACCTAGCAAGCGACGAATCTAAGTACGTTAGTGGTATCAACCTCGTCATTGATGGTGGATATAGCACAACTAATGTTGCTCTCTCCCAATCCTTAAAGAAGATGTCTTCTTCAATGTAGAGATGAAGGATGGATAAGTTCGTTACGTTGTTGTGTGAGTTTTTATTTTTATTTTTATTTTTATTTTTTGTTTACTCATAAAAATTCCAAAGAATCTATCTCAAAAGTCAAACCGGCCTCATGCATTTGGATTATAAGTTGTTTGACATGTTTATTGTTAGTCGCTTCAATTTTATACCATAAGGCAATTAGATTCCTTAATTTTTAAAAATTGTAATTTTAAACTAATTAACGGAGCCCAAAAATTAATTATTAACTTGTTATTACAAGTCACTAAGGTTCTGAAGAGATTTTCACAATGAATGTTGGTTTCGTGATCCGGGGTAGTTACTCGGTGGGCCAACGTAACTGATCGACTCAATAAAAATGTAAAAATAAATAAATAAATAAAGACAATAATTTTAACGTGGAAACAAAAAGGTAAAAACTATGGGCCTTTTTGGGCGATATCAAGTTAGAAATCTATTTTTTTGTAAGTGTTTTTGTACAATTGCATATATAGTTGTTTTTTCTAGAAAAAATGTAGCCCCCTCCTCTTGCTCTTCACTTTGCTTTTTATACTAGTAGAATGAATCGTCCAGGCTCCTCCAACTAATGAGTTTTTAGTGGGTTTAAATGGGAAAATAAATAGGCGATTAATAGGGTTTATGGGTAATATAATGGGGGGATTTAATAGGGTAATGAATGAGTAATAAAATGTGATTATTTGGGGGTTATGGAGGGATGTTGGGTAATTTGGTTGGGGAGCCAAAACTGGCTAGTTGGTCATGTCTCGAGTGTTAATTGCTGAGTCCTAGTGTCACGATCGATTGGTTGCATTGTTATGTGGTTCACCCGGATACCCATGTTGGGTATCCATCAATGAAAATTAGCAACCGACAAATGGTTGTTAGTCGCCTTCTCCATCTGAGAAGGCAACTAGTACAAGTTGACAACTAGTTGCTGATGGCCAATTTTTCCCCTAAAGATAGCTAAAGCATCGTTGGAATTCTAACGACCTACTATCACCAGTCACTAACTTATTTTTGAACTTCGATGTACTAAAATGGCATGTTGATGTGTTTGATTTTAACTTTTAAATGTTCAAAGCCTAATTGATTTCTCGTATAAAGTTCGACGGTGTATTTGACCATTTTTCCTTTGCTTTTTAATAATTTTAAAGAAGGTTATAGACTTATAGGTTTGTACTCTTATCTTATTTTACTTTATATTCTTTTATGTGTAACGATAAATCATTATATGATAATTTACTATCTTTTAATTGTTTTTTCACTCAACATATATAATGTAACAAAAATAATATGGAGTATTCTGTACTCCTTAGAGATTTGTTCTTATGGAACAAATTGATCCATGGTATGTACAAATCAATAAATTTGTATAAATTATAATTATGGTTAAAATAGTAAAGGAAAATAATTGTAGTAATATTTCATAGATTAATGCTAGAGTATTACAAGTAGTGTATTGTAATAGAATACGACATGACTTATCTTGATCTAGACAATGATCATTTATACAAGGAAAAGTTCAATAAACTCCCTAAAATGGTGGTGGCTCGCAAAACCAAATCAAGGCTCACGTGGTGGGTCATGTGACTAGGTTACGACCCACCATTCCAATCCCCAAAGACGGGCTGTGGCTGTGGGGCAAGGATGGCTAGTGGCCTCGGGAGCCCTCACTCTCTATCCGGATCGCATACTCTTCTCGAGTTCCGAGTCGTGGACTACTCTTTTTGGGTCATCCGAATCATCTCCTTGGATCCCGAGTTATGAACTCCTAAACCTCAAGTTCCATTATTGTATCATTTCTAATATCTCCATAACATTCTAAATTTTACATTTACAAATAAATCAGATACTCCATACTATTTACCATATTGATTTTTCTTAAGCTACTCTTTGCTTTTAAAAAATAATATATCTGTATTCAAAATAATAATAATAATATACCCAGTTTAAGTCAATGTGATGGGGTAATGGCCAAGTGGTTCATTATTGTCCTCGGTCTGCGCAATGAATTGCCTTAACATGGTCAATGAACAATATTTCGACGCGGTTTTATATTTATGAAAAGAATGATTTGTGTAATCTTCTCATGTTAAGACTTAAGAGTTATTTAATTTTAGGAAGGGTAGGTTGAATATATATGAAAATGTAATATTCATATGGAAAAATAGCACTTTTTTTTTTCCTTAATTATATACTTATAGCACTTTTTTTTTTTCCTGAATTATTCAAGTGGCTGTTTTTCCCCCTAAAATGTTAAATGTACATATTTATTCTTAAAATAAATATTTCATTTATTTTTCTTCTCCAACAAATTATGACCGTAATTTGGTTCAAACCAAACAAACACTATAGCAACCAAACCGAAATATTTCAATTACAATTTAGAATCGAAACTCGATATTTAGAGTTTATTAAAATCATAAACTGGAACGGACGGTTCATGCTCCGAACTGAAAAAGTAAAACACATTTATTGTTGAATTTAGACTATTTTAAAATAAAAAATAAAATTTTAAAATAAAGACGGTTCAAAACCGCGAACCGGATCCGGGATCGCCGGTTCATGGTTCAGATCCAATTTTTTTGATTCATAATTTTAATAAATTGACATCCAAATATTGGGTTCTAGATCTGAATCATAACCGAAAACTTTTAATTCGATTGCTATAGTGTCCGGTTCAGTTCGAACCGAACCGTGGTCATCCCTACGTATACGCAATAATTTGTTGGAGAAGTAAAATAAATAAAATGTTTACTTTAAGGGTAGACATGTCAATTTAATATATCAGGGGGAAAAACCACCACTTTTACAATAATTGAGAGGGCTAATGTGCTTATCTAAACAATTGAGGGGTAAAAAGTGCTATAAGTATATAACACAGGAAAAAAAGTGTAATTTTTCCTATTTATATTCAAAAATATAATATTAATTAGAAATATTTATTACTTATAAGGAAAAATGTAATATCTTTTAGAACAAATGTACAGATTAACACTTTTATATTTTGATGTAAAAATGTTACATTTTATCAAAAATATTATATATATTTTTTGAAAAATGTACAAATAGGCCATTGAACTATTTGGGGATAACAATTAAGCCACTGAACTCGAATAAGCTCCAAATTAATTCATGAACCTGCAAAAAAAGTGCAATTAACATTTTTAGCAGGTTACCAACAAGTTTATGATGGGATACTATGTGTATTTTTTATTTTATTATCCTACTAAACATTTGACAAAAAAAAAATTAAGCATTTGACTATCATGACTAATGGGCAGTTATAAAATCAAATATATCATGTATAGTTATATTCACCTGCATGGACAGCCAATCGTTATACCCTGAACCACGGCGCGCGCAGCACTATGCGCCCCGCGCCTCCAAAAACGACGTCGTTTTGTGAGGCGCGGAAGGGAGTCACGTGATCATGTGTATTTATTTATATCATTATGTGTATTTGTTCATACAATCATGTGTATTTTTTAATACAGTTATGTGTGTTTGTTTATATAATTATGTGTATTTGTTTACACAATTATGTATATTTTTTTATACAGTTACGTAAAATGACGTCGTTTTGTATCAATGCGCACAATGCAATGTACACCCCGGTGCACGATATAAATTGCTATAAACAGCTCAATTAGTCAAGTGAGTAAACTTTGGAAAGAACGAATAGTTACATTCGGTATCTTACATATAATAAAGCTATATGGTTGGGAAATAATTAATGTTATAATTAATTACCAACATTATTATTATTACTAGCTATAAATATAAAATAGCCACAACATCTTTTACTAAAAAAAAAAAAAAAAAAAAAAAGCACAACATTTGAAAAATAAAATAGCTGTTTTTTTTTTCTCGCCCATAACAAAGGATTACATTTATTGAATTAATGGAGTTATTAAATGTTATGATATTAGGATTAAGGATTCCGATTCCCGATTAATAGAAAATATAAAACGATGCATATTAGTTAAATCTCTGGTTTTACAATGAAAGTTTATTTGATATGCTTTTGTTATTTATGGTGGTTCTTGGGATTACAATATTAATTAAATTTTCGATGAAAGCCTATTCAATATCTGAAATAGTGCAATTAATGCAAGCTTCTACATATAATTTTTCTCCATCTCAAATGCTTCAAAGAAATGGCAGAAGCGAGAAGGGATGAAGAAAGCAAATGTTGCGGGCCGTGGGTCAATTATTGGACTTCATAATTAAAAAAAAAATCATTTAAGCCATAAATAAAAATTTAAATATATATAAATGTATATATTGTATGGGTCTTTAATGTTTTTTGGAATGTCTAAACTTAGGACTTTTAAAAGAAAAAAAATACATTTGAATTATCTCCACAAAAAGTGGTCTTGGACTTATAAAATGACATTTTAGTTTATGGAATGCCATGTGCATAAAGAATATATTATATAATCATATAAAAAAATGTGTTCAATTAGAGTTTAAATTTACTCATATAAATTTTGAAATTTGCTTTCTAAATGTAATTATCTTAGTTATTATTCGTATTGTGAAAATTATTATATAGATGAAATACAATTAAGAATAAATCAATGTAATTATGTAAATTCTCTCTTTGAATATGTACATAATTAGAGATTATATTAACCATACAAAATTTTAATTATAATTTTGTATTCTATAAAAATAATAAATACTTGACCAATGGAAGCTAAAAAATATTATTATATTAAACAATTTAAAATATTTTTATTATTTTTTATTTTTTATTTATATTTATATTTATAATAACATATTTTTTTTCCCGTGTATCGTGCGGGTGAATTACTAGTTATTATAAACACAATAGAAAAAAGCCCAAAATAATTACGGAAGAATTAATTCCAAAACACAAAGAAGCCCACAATATTACAGTCCACAAAAAAGCCCGACCCAATATCCCTATCCATAAAAACCCTATCTTGTAAACCCTACTAATATCTCTCCATTGTCGAAACCCTAGCAGCCTCCCTCCATTCATCTTCCAGCAGAAGCCCTGCCCGCAGAGCTCTCCCACCAGCAGCAACAACCATGGGTCGCGTACGTACAAAGACGGTGAAGAAGTCCTCTCGCCAGGTCATCGAGCGCTACTACTCGCGCTTGACTCTGGACTTCCACACCAACAAGAAGGTTCTGGAAGAGGTAGCCATCATCCCGTCGAAGCGCCTCCGCAACAAGATCGCCGGGTTCTCGACCCACCTGATGAAGCGGATCCAGAAGGGGCCCGTGAGGGGCATCTCGCTCAAGCTCCAGGAGGAGGAGAGAGAGCGCCGCATGGACTTCGTCCCCGATGAATCTGCAATCAAGATTGACCGCATTGAGGTCGACAAGGAGACCATTGACCTGCTTGCTTCCTTGGGTATGAGTGAACTCCCTGGGGTTGTCCTCAAGGAGGAGGAGACCGTCGGGATTGCCCCAGCCCCTGCTTTTGGCGGTGGGCGTGGTGGCTTTGGCGGCGGAAGGCGGTACTAAAACATCTCTCTATTGGCTTTTGATACTATTTAGTATAATGTAGACCCAGTGTTTTTCTATCCAGATGGTTTGTTTTCTAGTACTTGTGGAAAGACTTGTGCTTTTTTATGTTTTGCCCATGTTTGCTCTCTGGGTTATCAATTACAAAGATGTTCAAGATTTTGTTGTTATATTTTATTTGCCGGAGATGATTATTATGCTATCTGTCTGCTTTGATATTAACTTTAGATCTTCAAATATGATCTTTTAGTGTTTTGGGTCAAATGTTTGCTTAAATATTGAATTCATTTCCACTGAATCTAGCCTGATTCAACAGTTGTGGAATTGCATAAGAATAAGCTTGAGAATTAGAATGTATGAGTTCAGTTTGGTTAGTTATTTGAGCTGCATAAGTTTGATTCAACAGGAAACAAATCCCAGTTCATGCTGGATAAAGTTATTCTTGAGTTGATGCCATATGTGGTTTTTTGAATATAGTGTTTTTTGCCCAGTTTTGTCTTGGACTTTCAAGTTAAACCAATTGTGATATTCGTTTGGTTAATTTGAAAGTTTAGGACCAACGGTGGAAAAATGACTATATTTGAAGGATCCTAGATGACATTAACTCAATTATTCTTCATCCTTCAACTTCTTAGTGACAAGGAGATGTAAAGATATATTGAAACTTTGATTCAAGTTCTTCATGAACTTTCCTATAGTACAATGAAAAACGGATTTAAAATCCTCTTTGTTGCCATGGGAGTAGTCTATAGTGTAAGGGAACAATGTAGGGAAAGAAACAAATTAGGGAAGATCACTCGCTTGAATTGGCAAGCCCAACCATGTTAAGCATATGGCGATCTTCTTTAAATCTCTCAAGTATGGTTCCTTTGATGCGATCTTGTGTTTCTTCTTGAGCTTTCTTGACGATGACTCCCCAGCACTCTATTGCTTCTGGATATATAACATTGCTTGCTGACAAGCTGGGGCTGCCAAATGTAGTGCATGGGAAAGTATGGCCCTGATCGAAGTTGGCTAGGATGAACAACCCAAAATGATTCACTCTTCCTCCAAAACCAATGCCATTAGGAATGCTCTCCGAACTGAAATTTACAGCACACTGCAAATGCAAAAAGTTTTCAAACATACATTTCTTCAACTCAGTAAATGCTTATAAAAAGAGTGATTTTGACCTTATTTTAGCACTGCATTATGATTCTCAGAGCTAAATCAGAACAAATTGCTTGAAATTTCATTTCTTTCAAGACTTCCAGCATCAAATATGCTCATATAGTGATATGGCAATTTCATTTCAACTTGGGCAAGAATATGAAGAATGACCAGACTTACCCACTGTATATTGTGGTTTGCTCCAGTGGGGCGGAAAATTGATGCTTTTGGGTAAAGTTGGAAGATGAACGATTTCATATCTCCATAAAATTCTGCGTGTCTCTCCCATGGCTGAGATGCATAACCTCCGTATATATAACCTTCTTTGTCTTTGATAATTAACACAGAAGGACCTTTGTCATTCCTGCAGTTCACGGTAAAAGTCAGGAACTAAGGCTAACAGCAAACTGTGAAACAGAAATGGAGATTTTGTAAAAGATAGAAATGAAATGCAGTAACTCAGAGTATTGTAAGTGATACCGCAAAGTATGATAATTCTTGAACTAAATGTTTCCAGGTTAAATTACCAAGTAAAAGCATAAACTAGGATAAAAGAAAACACAAGTATACTTACGATACGTTTCCCAAGAATGTATTGAAGCTTAAGCCATGAACTGTACTGTGATAAAGAAGTTTCCATTCATGCAGGTCCTCTTGAGGGAGGGCACCTCCAATTAGCCAAGCATATTCCTTCCTTAACAAGATTACATTAGAATTAATATTGTCCTGGTGCACTAGTCTAGGAACATCAGAACCTACACAAAGGACAATACAAATTTCTTCAGAGAAATACAATACTAAGAAGGGCAAAAACCTCATATTTGCATATGCTTTTAGCTAATGATGTAAATCACTTAGACAAAAGTATTAGGTGAAGAGGATTAATGAATCAACCAAATAATGTCATCTCATTCTATAGGAAGTCCAGACTCTTGGCTAAAGAACTTCCTAAAATATCCAAGATTATGATAAAAATAGAAGGGTTCTAAATTCTAATTCTCAAATACGGTAAACTTTAGTATTTAAAACATCAAAATGCTGAATGACCATAAATGAGGAACCTGGATCAGATGGCATCAACAAACTTCCAAGGAACTTCCTTACAGATGGGAGAAGTGCGCACCACTTTCTAAACTCTTCATATGACATACAACTCTCAGCCGGTTTTTGACTATCCGTTGTGAAATTTGCAGCATTGAGGAGTATGCCAATAACTTCCGAATGTGAACCTGGTCCATGTTGTTGAGAAAATACACTATCTAGCATTGCAGTTAAAACAGCTTCAAGATCAGACCTGCAGGTTCATTCCAGTATAAAACAAATTACAACAAGCTAAACAACTGTGATTGTATTCCTCTATTAGTTTCATTTGTAAGAACTGCATCCTTGCAACTAAGGATAGTAAGACTTTTGCTTCTACCTTCCAACGGTGCCATCAGCAGAGACATCTAATAGTTGATAGATGAACTCTTCAATCTCATCTTTCGTTCCTTTTTCATAAGTTGCCTGTCACATGAAAACCACATCAATGTCATAGCCATTAGAATGATTTCACATCAAATTTTTGTTTTTGGAGTGCAATTCAGAGTTTCTATCGTCACACAATGACTAATCCCCTCGCTGAATTCTAGGCACCTCTAAGGGTGGGACAACTTTATAGCTATGAAATTGTTCGTCCCAAAAGGTTGAATCCCCAACCCCAAGGGCCCCCATACCCCGACAGAGCATCTAAGAGGGGATGTAAATCATGGTAACTCAGTTGAACCACAAATGCTAGACCTTTGCTTACTGCGCACAAGGAACCCCCTCACTGTCGCTAGTAAGACTGGATCCCCAGCGACAAGACTCGATCCTGGTCATTCTTTCCAAATTTCACCCCGATGACCAACTGAGGGCAGCTATGAAATTGTTGCAAAACCATTTTGTAGTGTATTCCATGGAATTTCAGGCCAACACTTGAAATAAAATGACAAAGCTTTCAACAAAATTCCTAATAGTAGCTACCAATTTGGTTTCCAAACTTGTATAGGTTCTTCTACAAGCCCACCTAGAAAACTATTAAGACTTGAAGATTAAATCTAAAATCAACATTAATTAATAGCATTAAAACTAGAACAAGAACAAGTGAAAAAGGAACTTACTTTAGCAATAACAAGATCTTCAAAGGTAAGCTTTTGATCCTTGCGATTCTGAGAGGCCAAGTCGAACAATCTATCCCCCAGCGGCCCTTCAATTCCAACGTGATTCTATCCACACAAGAAAGATAAACATAAAATTTTCCAAATCGATGGGAGGAATTACGGTTTTAGAAAAAACGAAATTGCAGAAAGTAGAGAGAGACCTTGAAAACAGAAGGGGAGATGTGCTGGGCATTTCTTTCAGATTTCTCGGCGAGTGAAAGGAACAATGAGTAAAGGTCTTCTAGTTCCTTCTCAGTGAACGCTCTGTTCAGCGAATTCGTAAAGCATTTAACAGATACAGATATACAGATGGATAGATAGATAGAGAAAGAGAGAGAGAGAGAGAACCTTTTGGCGGAAGCAAAGCGAGGATTGATAGAAGACGACGGAGAATTGCCCATCTCTCCGGGAGAGAGAATAGCAGTGACGCGGAGAAAAGTAAGGTGCGTAATTGTGAGACATTAATGGAGTAGAAAGCAATTTAGAGAAGATCTTAATCGTAATTCGAAAGAAATTCAGTGGCTTCATCGCAATTATTTACTAGTTTCTGTATGGATTAGGGAATAATGGATCTTCCAACTCCAAAGAGAGGTTTACACGATATGATGTGCCCAGCACTATGCAGATCAGAACCTGTACACGTTTCAGTCTGTGTTCTTGGCTTCTTTCTACTAATTCTTCCTTTACGTATTATTCAAAATCCGTTCTTTATACAATTTATCAATGGTTATCCGCTTGCTTGCATAGTTTCAAGAAACCCCATTTCATTGAACTCCATAAAATTAAGCTTTTAAGTATTTCTCATGGTTTTCTTCACAAATTTCCAAATTGGAGAGTGAGTTTGTTGCTTTAATTTTCTCAGATATTGTTGGAGATGCTAGTCTATAAGAATAACTGAGACTGCTGTATGAGATAGTATATTATAATACTTTTTATGAATTTATAAAAAAAATATGGATTATTTCTTTAGCCCAAGTCAAGTTGATTAGACTATTGATTTGGTAACTACAAAGTTACAACTTCAACTCCTAACCTGAGTGGTAATCTAGACTTGTTTTTCATTGTGTGGTCCTTTGACGACGATGGTCACAAGCAGGGACGGAGCCAGGAATTCCGTTGAGCGGGAGCGAAGAAGCAGGGAGTGAAGGCGAAACATGAAAACAAAATAGATAATTTGAAAAAAATAAATTACCCAAGAAATATATGTATAAATATTGTTGGATATGAGTAAAAAATAAAACACATCAAAATTTTATAAAAATATTCATAACAAAATATTTGAAACATAATTAATTTGATAAAATAATTTGAATAGAGAATACATTATAAATTACACGTCTCATTATTAATATAAAAGAATGATATAATTAATTTGATAAAATAATTTGAATAGAGAACACATTATAAATTACATGTCTCATTATTAATATAAAAGAATTATATATATGTGAAACTGCCAACAAAGAATTTGAACCTCAACCTTCATTATAATTAAAATGTGCTCGGTCAACTAATCTAACTCACTTATTGTTATCATTCTTCCATTCTTTTATACTGATACTAAAATTTGTACTATATATACATATATACATACGAAAGTTATATATAGGGCAACTGCCCCTTTGGCTCCGTCCCTGGTCACAAAGTGATATTTACTCAAGGCACACCCTTGAATAGCGAGTGTGGATTTCCCCTCAATTTTTATTTTTTATTTTATTTTATTTTTTTTTATCTTGCACCATTTAAATGGTGGTGTTTTTTAATTTGTTGATGATGCAATTGTCTTTGCCTCTAAGTTGTACTGTACTGTTAAACTAAAGTGAGAATTTGTGGGATTATTATATACTAGTATGCCACCCGTGCGATGCACGGACTAAATATTTGAAATATAAAAATTATGTTATATTATTAAAAGTTATTATTGTTATAAAATTTAATTTTATATATAAAAAGGAAATATGGGGTTTATTCTCTTTTTTTTTTGTTATTTTATAATTATTATGTTAATTTGCTATAATAAAATTATGACCATAAAGATTTGCAATTAAAATAATAATTGATATTTAAGATGGGTAATGATATTTATGGGGGCATATATATACATTATTGCCTGCTCTCATTGTTCCCTACGATTCTTGTAAAATAACTAATTAACATTACAATAATACCAACTATAATTTATATTTTAAAGTTAAACCTCCTTATATACATTTGACATATATATATATATATATATATATATATATATATATATATATATATCATTTTAAAATAAATTTTTAAAAACCAAGTATTAAAATTTATTCAAGGCACACAATTATAACCTAAATATTTAAGTATATGAACTAACATTACTCAAGATATAATAGCATATTACCAGTACCACTATAACAAATTATAAAATAAAATTTTGAACACATGATTGGAACATTACACAGTAAATTAACAAAACAAAAATTAAATACATTATACAATAATTGTTGTCACAAAAGAAAACAGTGGAATATAAAATAAATTCATAAATAAATATCTAACTATCTAACTATAAACATAATCTAAATGTAAATTTATTATATATATATATTGTTGGGCTGTGTAGCAAAAAACCAAAGCCCAAATAAATTTACAACCCAAAAGTAATCCAACAACCCAAATATAAATACCCAGCCCACCCATTTCAACCCAACTAATTCTCCATTTCCCCCTTCATCTCCCACTCTCCCTCCCTATTCTGCGAAATCCCTCCCTCCTACAGAAATGAAAATCAAGCTAGAGAAATCCAACCGACGCTTCATCAGTCCATGCTTCTTAACTCCAACAATGCCTACAATCTGCTTCTAATTTCCTCACTTCAGCATCGCAAAGTCAGTACATAATATCTTCACACTGTCTCTGTCCTAGTCTGTTTCGATTAAGAGATATAATCTTCCATGGCTATAGAGAAAGAATTCATCTCACACGGTATGTTTTAATTATATTCTATGAACAAACATAGTATTAACTCATTAGCTAGAAACCCTAACTCCTTTGTGGCTTTGTTTACAGATCTACCTACACATGAACATCAACAAAGGAATATAGCTGTAGAAAAACACAAAAAGCAGGCCCAGAAGTGCATGCAGAGAGATTTCGATGTTTACAGGCTTCTCTTGAAAGGGACAACGACCGATTTCTTAAAGATAAGTAGCCCCTTATTAATTCAAAACTATGAAACTCTCGCTAAAAGATTAATTTCTAGACTTAGAATATGTAGGAAATAAATTTATGTGTTGTACACACTTATTAGCAAAAGTTTTTTTTTTTTTTTTTTGGGTGCTAAAAAAGGCATAAATGTGTCTAGCTTATATGATTACTACCTGCTAGACTGTTTGTAGGCATCAATTTCCTATCTTATTAGGATTGAAAAAAATTACTGATATTCTGTTTTTTTTTTGTTCTTGTTCTTTAATTTTTTATTTTTTTGGTACTGAATGTTATCTATTTCCTATGCTTTTAGTGAATTTTTGTTTTAGATATGCCATTACATTTGAATTCTCATATGGAATATTTGAATAGTATGTGCATTATTAACTCTTTTCTGTATTTTTGTATAAAGGAATATATGGGAAGTGGAAATGAAGCAGGAAATGTTCAATTTATGGATGAAAGGTATATCTTACTGCTTATACCCAATACTTGAATCCATAATTAATGTGTTGCATACTCTGATGCTATTTTGCCAAGAGATTTTTACTTCTAAACAACTTGTACTCAATTAGTTATTTAATCAATGTAACTGCAGTTTTCATTATATATATATATATATATATATATATATATATATAACCTGTGTACTTCATTTTACCAATAGATTGCAGTATAGATTTTTTTTTTTTGTGCTCATGTTTTTTCTAGAGTGATTAAAACTGCTATATTGATTTGAGTGTGGTCTAAATGGGTGATAGATCTTCTAGATGATACAATTTACAGCATTTTTTTTTTGTGTTCATGCAATTTTCTGGGTATTATGTCATTACTTGCAAGTTCATATAAGAATGTGATACCAATTCCTATTTGTTTTCCCAGTAGTGAAATATAATTTTTATTTTTTGTTTATCTAGCATGTTACAGAAGCGCTCCTCTAATTGTTTGTCTAGTTAAGTTGACTAAGCATATATGTGAAATAAAATATGCTAGACAAAAAAATCAATAAAAAAATGAAAACAAAAAAGTAAACAACTATCAACTCATTTCATTTCATACTTAACCATCCTGACTTAATTCCATTATAGCACATCCACATTCTGTAGTCTGTACTGCGATAAATCAATTTAATATGTCGGATAGTTGTATGACATCTTTGCTCCAATATGCTTTAGACGTACACTCTATTATTTTTCTCAAATCATAAAAGAATCTATTTTTCTCAAATCTTAAAAGAATTGAGAATACATATTTTTTATTTAATGATAGTTTGCATTCAATTTATGTGCTATCTTCTTTAAAGAAATGACAATAAAGAATACTATCCTTGAATTAGTCCATCAAAAGTACATATCAGTTACCCAATGCATTACAACAGCAATAATGAACATGATGTACACTATCAAACTGAGTTCATGAATTAAATTTCTGTTCTATATACATAGAGGTTCTATGCATACTGTAAGCATCCATACCGACTTAATAGCATGTCCTAATCGCAACATGACTACTCATTGCAGTCCATTTGTGTGTTAGCCTCGTCAAAGAGTAGACCATAGAAAAGAGTATTTTTTTTTTAGAGTTAAAAGTGCCCATAACTTACTCAATCTACCATTAGTGCAATTATCAATTTGCACTTATACTTTAAAACTTAGGTCATTAACAAACTCTGTTCTATATACACTATCATTCAATACAAAGATATTCGACACAATGTATTTGTTTCTTATAGGTAAGCCAAGTAAGCCATGGTATGAAATCAAGCTGCCAGCGGGGAGAACCTAAACACACTTATCACCAGGTACAGGTTAATGCATTAGCCTTGTATACTATTATAATAACAATAGTGGTTGGTCCACTAGCTGCATTACAAAGTATAGATGATTTTAGGAACAAAATACTAAATTAAAACAGCAAAGACCACACTAACAAATACAAATTACCATTAGAAAACATAATCCCTAAAATAGCCACTTAAAAAAAAAAGCAGTGAAGGCAATCTATACCCGGTGATAGTTTTTTATGTTATATCTCCAAAAGAATAATATTTACCTTTCCCTAAAGTCAATAAACTCAGGCAACTCTTTAGGGTCTGTAGACTGTTGCAACTTCATGAGGAAGAAGATGATTTCACATGAGCATTAACAGTCTCTGTAGATTGTTGCAACAAAACAATTGATTTTTGGGTTAAAAATCAGTGTATATAATAGATCTGTTGATAAACGGGTAAAAACAAAATGCTTTTATAGTATTATAATTTATAAAATTTATTGAAATGTTAACAGTAAACATATAAGCTTTGTTTTCCAGGTTTTCAAGATAAACATGATAAAAAGGTATAGAAGGATTAAATAAGAAGTAGCTACCATTTTTGAAGTAAGCCCAAATTAGTAGTAGATTTAAAGGTGTAGAAAGGTATGCTTAGAACTGTACCGATATTTGCATCTATATGGCTCTTCTTCATGCAGCCTATGGTAACTGATCCCTTAAGCTTCTTCATGACTGTTTGTACTGCATTATCACCTTTTGACTTGCTTGCAACTGAAAACCTTTTGTGATTCATGCATGTAAATGCAATCTTGTATATTTATAAATATAGTGCTTGCTTAAGATATGAAACTAACTAAATAAGAAGGTAAATGATGATACTACCATCTGATGTCTAAGCCATAAACATATAACTATCATTTTACTATTTCACTTTAATGTGTGTGTAGATGAATATAAAACTAACACCAGTGTGCCAAATGTGTGTGGATACGTGGATACAGAGCATAACCAACAAAAAATTCAGAGTTAACATTAATATAAAAAAATAGCAGCACAAATTTCATATTTAATTACCACTAACCTTTTCATCATGAAATAAGCATACTATTGATGCCCTTTGTTTTATTGTTTTCAGGTGCTGCATATGTTCACACCAAGCGGAGACTATTTGCTTTGGTCATAAAATCTGGGTTTAGTTGAGATGCAAGAACAAATTGGCCAGCCATTCTAAAGAGATCAGCTGTGTATGTGAATGGCGCAATGTAATTGCATGTATATATATATACAACGAAAGTAATCATCAGGCTGTGGCTACCGCCGTGAACCTAAATAGGCCTAAAGAGTAGTAATCGTTTACCAAGAATGGCACTTAATACAGATCAGAACTAAAAGATTAAATATAGCAATAATAAAAGACGAAATAGGATTAGACTTCTAATTAATGTGAATGATTATAACTTAGAAATAAATACAATAATTACTTTAAACCAATGACAAAAAAAGAATTCAAAAAATTAATAATGATTACAATCTCACCCAAATTGTCTAACTTCTGCCAACACGTTTTATAAAACCAAAGCATTGGAAACCCAAATCTCTCAAGCAATATTATAGATAGCCGAAACTCTATCCCTATCCCTAAATAAAAGAAAAAAAAATCATAACTAAATCCAAAATGCTTGGGCGGGAGAATGGGGCCATTTCATTGGCAAAATCCCCTCTCTTTATTAGAATAAGAGATTACTGTTTTGTTATGCCATTATTTACTGCAGCATGCAGAAGTAGGACCCTATTGTCTCCATGTTGCATAGAACTGTTCCTATCTTCACACATATGGCCGCCGGCAAGCTAAGTGACAGAAATAATTGTACGTGTGTCAAGTTTTCCTTCACCACCTATATATGTAGATGATGATGAGTGCAGTAGTGCTTAATTGAACTGCCTCCTTCCTTAACATTTAACATTTTTTTTTTTAACTTATGTATACTATTTTTCGTATTTTGACTATAAGGTTGTTGGGAAAAATTTTCTGCAAGGACGAGGATGCAATTCTCCGGCGAGGATGAGGCAGGGTCAGGGAGTATTACTAGGGGTAGAGGTTTTAAGCTTCAGTTGGATATTTTTCGGTTTCGGTTTTTTAATTTTAAAAAATTAAACAATTTGATTTAACATTAGAGTTCGGTTGGATTTCGATTTGATATTCGGTTCGATTTAAGATCTCCAAATTTTAACATTTCCTAAATTTCGGAACATACTATCAAACAATACATATTCCCAACATAATCACATAATTCAAATCCAAATCTAAAGCTAAACATTATATAACAAAATAGCAATCCAAAGTTCAAACATACTACTAAATACTAAGGCTATCCTTATCCCAAAAATTTCTCTCACTTTCTAAAATGAGTCCCACTTCCACATCATCAATTTTGTATATAATAAAATAATATTAAAAGAAATAATAAAAATAAAAAAAAAAACATAAAAAGTTGTGCAGTTGTCCTTTTGCAGCTTTTTCTTTCATTAGCAAATTCTCTCTCTTATTTCTATTTTAGCAATTCTCTCTCCAATTTCAATACACATCAGCATCAAAAAAGAATAAAAAAATGTATTCTCTCTCTTCCATGTCATTTAGAAAGGGGTAAAATTTCTGGGATGGGGTTTGGCTAATTACCAAACATCAGTTGACTTTTTTGCACAACCGACACTACAGTTGGCTCACTTGAAATATTTTATTTACAAGATGAGTAATCATCTATCTGTATAGTTAATATTTGAAGAACAAGTATCAAGTACTGTATATATAGTTAATTTTTGGACACAAGCCGTCAATGCTAGTGCACTGGAATATTATTTTCCAGTGCTGTGGAAATATATTCCAATACTAGAATATAATTATAGTGCACTGGAAATCAAAATTAGAATGATGTTAAAGCACATTAAATTCATAGAAACATTACACTATTACACTAAGGAAAATATTGAATATTGTAAGAATAACTCAAGTCAGCTATAATTATGAGGTAAAGAACAATTGTGGCAAACAACAAAAGTGTAAAGTAGAGAACAATCCATAAAAAAATCAAATAAAAAAATTTAAGAGAGATACCAGTGAGAATAGGAACGGAACGTCGGAGCAGGCATCAAATGACTTGGATTTACTTTTTTTTTTATTATTATTATTATTATTATTATTATTATTATTATTATTATTATTATTATTAAAAAATCAAATGATATTTGGTTCGATTTGATTTTTACCAAATCGTTCGGTTCAATTCGATATTTAACCGAACTATTCGGTTTATAAGAATCCCGAACCATTTGATTTTTTGATATATTACTAATTTGGGTCAGGTTAAATAATACCGAACCGAATTGCTCACCCCTAGTATTACTCAACATTATTGAGACTAACATAACATGTTTTGTTGAGGAAGCAAACACGTATGTAGATTGGTTGGCTTCAAGTCATAACATGAATACTCTTGGTTACCCGCATGGACAGCTCAACTAGTCACAGAGGTGAAACTTTGGAAGAATGACCAGGGATTGAGTCTCACCAGCGACAGTGTGAGAGCAACCTCTCAAAGTGAGGGGCCAGGTTCTTTGTGCGCAGTGAGCACAGATCTAACCTCTGTGGTTCATGTTCAGTTGAGTTACCATGAATTACATCCTCCCAAATGCCTCTGTCAGGTTGGGGTTCAGCATTTTGGAAGAATGAATACTCTTTTGGTGTTCCACCATAAAGGATTAGCTTGCTTACCTATTGCGGATATAATTAGCATGGCCGAATTTTGGAGCGTGCAAGATGGGTAACAACACATGGCCTCAATTTTTAGAGGGTCTAATATTTACATCGTTTATACTTATTTGAAATAAAAACGATATATTTTACAGTAGAAACTGTAATTTTTACATTCAGTTGGTGTTACACTCTTCATACTTATTTGAAATAAAAATTATATATTTTACAGTATTGATTTTAAAGATTGTGATTATACTTTTGGTAAGGCCTCATTTATTTATAAGAACGGGGCCACAAAAAACTATGAACATATATATATTTATAAAATTATGAACATATAGCTCTATAATTATGAATCTACGGTTTAGAAATTATGAATCTACAGTATAGAAATTATGGATATGGAACCGTGCCCACCTTGCAAGGTGGACACGATTCCACAGCATAACGTTCCCTTTAAGACATGTAAATAAGATAACGGAAATAAGATAAATTGATTAAAACGTCCAAAGTCCAATATTAGTAATAAGACAAGGTAATGTGAGATTACCTAAGAAATTGGAGGGTATCTCACACCCCCACCCCATATATAATAGTTGTATGTATATATGTATATATATAATACAAGTTTTAGTATTAGTATAAAGAAACAGATAAATGTTAATAAGAAGTGAGATAGATTAGTTGGCCAGAGTTTAAATCTTTTGTTGGCATTAATACAATTTTATAGTTTCTCTTGGCTTCAACACAGTTACATTGTTAATACCTTTTTTTTTAATATTTAATAAAACATACCCACCCCCCCCCCCCACACACACACACACACACACACACACACACATATATATATATATATATATATATATATATATATATATATATATATATATATATATATATATATATATAACATATTTTTTTGTATTAAAAATAAGATGTGTAATTTATAATGTGTTCTCTATTCAAATTATTTTATCAAATTAATTATGTTTCATATTTTATTATGAATATTTTTAATAAAATTTCGATATGTTTTATTTTTCGTCCATATCCAACAATATTTATACATATATTTCTTGGATAATTTTTTTTTTAAATTATCTCTTTTGTTTTAATGTTTTGCTTTCACTCGAAAAAATTGATGGATCCGTCCCTACTTCTTCGCCCCATCTCAACAAAATTCCTGGCTTCGTCCCTGTATAGAAGTAAACAATTTAAACTACAATTAGTCTTGTATAAAACTATTTCACACAAGATGAGTAATATTTTGTTTATTAAAAATATAATACTTTTCAATTTATGTGAACAAATGAGTAATATTTTTTTTTATTAAAAATATAATACTTTTCAATTTATGTGAACAAATATAAATCTTCAATGAAAAGCACAATACTTTCACTAGTACACTAGGACTATGTAGTCTAATGGTACCCGGGTTGGACTTCCATTTGGAAGGTTATGAGTTCGAGTTTTAGTGAAGGCGTTATTAGCTCTTTATGTTTTAGTAGTTTGAGAAAGTATATAAACATTTACTATATTGTAAATTGTAATAGAGGTAGTAGCATTCAAAAAAACAATAAAATTTTAAATACTTTTTAGTGAAAATGTAATACTTGTTCACTATAAAAAAGTATATATATATATATTAAATATATGTAATTAAAGAAATACATATTTGGTATTTGTATCATATAAGCCTTTTGTATTTAAACTAATTTTCATATCTATATATTTTTTCCTTTGTGCTAGTCTGCTACGCTATATTTATGAAGTTTCAAAAAATAAAATAAAATAAATTTTGTACATACATTTAATAACAAAAAAAATCCATTCAAAGAAAAAAAAAATCCATATAATTATTAAATACAAAAAAAATAAAAATAAATAAAAAAAATCACATAATGACATCATAGGGAGCATAACATGACTGTAATTACAATTTCCTTAATAACTATGTACCTGGATTATTACTTGTCTTAATCCCTAATTCTATTTGATGATGTCTCAATCCCAACCGCAAAAGAAGAATTAAGTCAGTGGTTGAATGTCATTAAACCCAAAAAAGGAACAAGGCATGTGCACCTTAAAAACCTAAGCCCCATAATTCTGCATGACAATTAATCACTGTATCTGAATTCTTCAATGTCCTGGCTAACCTTCATGTCATGGGTCTCCTTGTAATTAAGAGAGCTGTCTAATTTTTGTGATTCAAACCTTCAATATCTATAAATAAGAGGACCCCCAAAACATAAATATAGAGTTAGGAGGATTAGGTTACTGTACTCAAGTACATATATCTTCATAAATCTTAAAGGTAGTCATTTATGAGAGGAGAGGCCCATGAGGTGACAATATATAGGCAAATTTTAACGTGGATCCAGAATAAATGTTTATTTTAACATATTAAAAATAAATTATTTATGTACTACAAATTTATTATTTAATAGTAATAGTTTTATCGGCTGGGTCCACCATAAACTAAGTATGAAAATACATAATGAGAGTACAAAAATAGTAGTTTTATTGTTCGAGATACTAGGCCCAAAAGAATATACACAATACCTGATATAACGGTTCCAAAATAAATAAATAAATAATAAATATTATAGCCGAAGTAGAGGACTAGGAATCCTGGTGTTGCTATTAATAATGAGAATTCTAATTGAATTTGTTATTTGTAACATTGTGACTTCTTCTCTTTATTTATTTATTTATTTATTTATTTATTAATATTAATAGTGAGATGAGTGATTTATAATGTGTTTTCCATTCAAACTATTTTATCTAATTAATTATGTTTTATATTTTATTTTAAATATTTTTTATCTTGATGTATTTTGATTTTTCATGTCTAGTCAACAATATTTATGACTCGGTCTCTCTCAGTATTTCATTTTTAAAAATTATCTCATTAGTTTTAATTTTTTGTCCCCACTGAAGAATATTTTTGGATCTGCCCCTAATGATATAATGGTTTATGACAATGTTTGAAATTTATCATCCCTACATTTGTGAAAAACATGTTTACTTGCATAGTTCAAAAATAGAAAAACACTTCTTGTTTTTCAAAAGTTTCAAATATAAAACACGCATGAGTCGTGTGTTACGTTCTTGATGATGGCTTAAAAACCTTAGCTTTTTTCTCTCACTTGTCTTAATGGATTGCACTTGAATTTTCCTATCTCAACTTCTTTCGACTTGAAATGAGGTATTTATAAACTCCTTTGAATTTGTTTGTTGGAGGAAAATAAAATTCAAACGGGCAGTCTTTGTTGAATATGTATTGAATAGTGGTTTGTGTGTTAGGTTGTTCTTTGTCAGAAATTATAGTTAGTTGTTAATTGATATATTGAGCTACTTAAATTGTGGGTTTTTCCTTTTGTTTTAGCTAAAAGAAAAAAAAAATTCACCTTGATATGTGTATCTAGGATTTATGAAACCTTGGTAGCACAAAATGGCTCTTAGGAATTATTCTCGATCACTTCACTGATAAGTAATTGTTCAGATTGTTGCTTGAATATTCTGATGGTAACAAATGACTTTTTAAATGTATTATGCGAGTCTTCAACTTGAGACTCTTCCTTGGTCTCTTGTATCGTTTGAACAACTTCATTGCTTGAGCGTTTGACAAATAGTCAACCCTTCTACCATTCAGTCATTATTAATAATTCGGTTGATTTTACTTTCCATGAGTCTTACTCGATCTACGGAGTCGATGAACCATTTGGTCTTTTCATTCTTCGGCCTTAGTACACTTCAGGTCTTCAAATCTTCTTACCATTGGACTCCTTTGACTTCTTGACCCATAGACAATCCTGTTAGCATACATAGTATACTTTGTGTAGGTTGAACTATTATTTTTTTTTTTGAAAATAGGTTGAACTATTATTTAGTTATTCTACTTTTCAGGTGGTATAGTTCGTCACTTTGTAAGACTATGCGGATTTGAGCCTGCGAAATGTTCTTAAGTCTAGAAGTTAATTGCAAAAGAGTTGGGACCAATTTCCTAGTATATTTGGAATCATTAAAATATATTACAAACTCTTTCAAACTCAATTGTTACACCTAGTCGTGTTCATTGTGTCTCAAAAATTATATTTATTGATAAGAAATTTTCAGGAAAATAAATCAAGTTCATGCCTTGAAGGCTTATCGTTTTATCTTCTTAATCCTTGTTTCTATCCGGACGAAATATCTAACATGCCATTTGTCTTAGATGTGTCAAAATTTTTAAAGAAACTATAAATATGATATTTAGTTATAAGTTTTACGCAATGATTAATTTTCTATGGTATTAATAGTATAAAGTATGTTCGAATAAAGCTACTGATGATGTTAGTTTTTAGAATACTGGTTGTGTTTATTGTCAAAACTTGTATTTCATTGTTTAGGAAATACTATATATATTTTTTAGTAGCATGGTCTATAGTTCTTTCCTTGGATGAATATGGTATCTTGGTATATCTTATGGAAAGACGGCAGTCTCTATGTATTAAGGTTTTGGTACTTTTTTTTTTTTTTTTTTGAAAGAAGGTACTATTTATACTGGTATTGTGTTTGGAAAAGGTCTATGCACAGCATAGAGAGAATTCATCAAGTACTAGTGCTGATATGTTACTCAAGGTACGTATGTGCTTCATCAGTGGGACTACAATCCGTCCTTGAGGTTTTCATTTACATGTATTAATCAAACGAGTCTGAAGCAATTGGTGTAGTGATTCTTTCAAGGCAGAAGGGATTCATAATCATCAATTTCTAGCAGTATTCTTGAACAATGTCAATAGATACGGGAAGTGATCTCATTGTGTAAATGTCTATATATGTCATTGTACTTAAATATCGCT